CGGTAAGATTGCTCGTGACTGAGTTGTTCGACGTAGCGCGAGACGATGAGCGCACAATAGCCGTGGACGAGCAGCGTAATTATGAAGACGATGATGTACCCGATCTTCCACGCCTTGGTCGCAACCTGGCATACCTTGGAGATATCACTATCGCTGAGGTTGGCGGTGTTGTCTGCCTTGACTTCGGTGATGCATTTCTGGATGTTTTCGTCGTTTTGGCGGTAGAGGGTATAGATGAAGAATGCGCCAGATGCAAGTTGGAAGCCGACCATATACCAGAGGGCTTGGGCATAGGCCGAGACGAGTCCTCGTTTACGAGTGATGGCACCGATAAATCTAATGACAAGGTGTTAGTGACACATGTAAGATAGAAATAACATAAGCGCTTACCCTAGGATAGAGAGGAAGAAGAGGAAGGTATATATCGATCCTGCGACGACGAATGCGACTTCCTGAGGTTTATCAAGCGACGCATGGTTGCCCGCCTTAGACACTGTACTTGCCGATAAGCTTCCGAGAACCCGACAGACAGAAGAGAGTACACTCACTATACACCGCATACCAAATCACTGCTGCATATGCGCCTGATCCGATGATCGAACCGAGCGAGAGCACAAAGACTCCGAGTCTGACTGGCAGGCAGCAGCAAAAGTGGCGTGTAGGAGACATGGGATCAGATAAAGTGAGGTTCGAAGGGAGATGGTGGTGGAGGCCTGGGCGATGGGGAGGCTAAATACCCTCGCGGTCGTCGACGCGTGTTATCGCCATATCGGGCTGTGCTCAAAAATAGCACAATCAATGGCTTATCAAATTGCGCACTGCCACGAATGTCACTTCTGACCGATAGGAGCGATTCATTCCTATGCCTTACTTTCACCCTTGATGTGCATATATTTGGAGAATGTACATCTATGTACAGCTCCGGATGATGGCTATGCTAACGCGATAACAGGGCCGGCAATATCCCTTGTCCAGAGATTGTGGTTCTCATTTCAACCGACAAGTATTGACCGAAAGAGAAGCATTTGCACAGGGGCTGGCTACGGCGTTAGGGAGGAAACCCGTGCTTTGTCTTCTTCCTGGGCGCTAACTACGTCGCACCAGGACACCGCTCACTGGCATGCCGTACAATGACGTGCCATCCACCGAGATAAAGAAGCCTCCGAGGCGGATTGGAACCGCAATAGCTGTGTTGCTGTACTCGTTAACCGAAGCAGCTTTTAATCAAATGATGCTTGGAATGTTGAGGTAACTTATGGGCTCCTCACAAATGATGACCAAAGTTGACTATGAAAGCCTTTATAGCTCAGTGGTAGAGCGCATCACTCGTAATTTGTTTACGTTATGATGAGGTCCATTGTTCGATCCAGTGTGGAGGCAACTTTTTGGCGTTTATCATTGCCCACCGCCGCTTTGTCTTTCAACTGTTGAGCACAGACCATTCCGTCCATGCCCTCCAGTCGAGAAAGCTCGTTACTTTGACCCATTTCAAAGAAACGGTACATCAATTGCAACAGCGAGCACGCAACACATTCGCTTATCTCCCTGCATATCCTAGGGCTGGTGAAGCCGGTAGTCATGCCTCATGTCAAAGACAGTTCAGAATGTATTGCCCAAAAGTCCCCACAGGGTTTACGGAACATACACAAACCACCTTCAAACGGCTTCGACAACTACACAGCCCATAGAACGCAAAGCTAAAATCACACCTTGTTCGCTAGTTTCTGCTCACCGCCTCATCGTCCACGGCAGCTGTAAGCGCCGCACGCGGTCGACCGAGCACCACACGCACATCAGGCGAAGCCACC